AATTTACAAGTTATATTTACTCAATTTCAGCAACTAAAATTTAGAACTACACCTTGAAATCATAGCATGCATAAAATGCAATTCTGTGCTTTTTGATTCATTCTGTTCAGACCCACTAATTTCACTTTCCATTTTCTAACTGCAGCCACAAAACCTGGTTTTGGTCTAATGGGTCACCTGTTGAATGCATTCAAAAGAATGTTCAAGCTCACTCATACTCCCACACAGATAAAAAACTGTCCACTGCACTTTTGCTAATCAAATACATCATAATGAAAAATACGTTTCTCTATGTTCAGCTAGTCTTTCTGAAGTGCATGAAATAAACCAACAAAAGAATAGACACATTCAGGATGGAAAAGATTTATGAGTCCAAGCCTGCCATTGCAGGATTTCCTTTATCACCTAGTGACTGCATTTTTTAAAAACAGCTCCTGAAATGAGGCTTCCATTATTTCTCTGAGGAGACTTCTAGATCATTACACAACTAAAGACATTTTTTTTCCAACATTTATCCTATCTTTTCCATTTATTTTGACACTATTACCTCAATTAACTAACCTTGACATTATGAGATCTAATTATTCTCTGTAGCATTCACCTAGCTTGAGGCGTTGGACTAGATGACCTTCAAAGCTCCCTTCCAACCCAAAACATTCTGTGGTTCTCCACATCCAAATCACTTAGTGGGCAGGTGATGTGAATGCTCCTTTTTCTTTATTTATCTTTGGGTTCTTCCAAATACTATGCCACTGTATAGTGTCCTGGTGTACTTGCAACCTAAATACTGCACACAAGCCTCACTGCCCTTTTCATAAAAGTCACATTGTTTAATTTGTGTACAGAGATACTCAAAGGATGAGTTGAAGTATAGAGCAATAGGCCTATCCTCCAAATACGAATGCTCTAGTGGAGGGGAAGAGTTAGGAATATAGGCATTAGAGATGAGATATTAGACATGAAAGAGACCTTGAAAATTGTTAATACAGAAGCTGAAAAGGGACCAGTTATTATCTTCTCAATATACAAGCACATGGCAAACCTTATCCAACTGACAGAAGGCTTAAAGACAGCAAGAAGATGAGTCTTCCACACAAGACATCATTCATTGCTATAAAAAAAAAATTACAGACACTAAAAATGAGTCAAAACCAGACAAATTAGCAGGTGACAGGTCATCAATTCCTATTACACATAGTCTTTCTTACAAGATGCATCTTAAGTCTTAGAAAGGTAACAGTAAATTGGCAGAAGTGGAAAGGTATACCCAGTAAAGCAACACTCTATACAGTTTCTTATACTTCTCCTAGAATTCTGCTGTTAGCCACTGTCAGAAAGAATCCTAGGGCAGACAAACCTCGTATGTGATCCACTATGGCTGTTTGATAGGGAACAAATGGAAAAGATGAGTTCTCCTTGTTGACTGGGGAATACGATGGAGACTATGAGAATGCATTAGGTTTAGTGTGCAGTACTAGCCAGTTGATTCTTTTCTCTAATTGTAACAAAGTAAACACACTAATTCTGTATGGCCAAAAAAGCCTGGAGCTGTAATATCGACAAGATAGTGTGAGGAAGACAACCTAATCAACCATGAAATATTATAATAAAATTAAATAGACAGGATCGCTATGATGCAAGTCCTAACAAAGCAGTAATAGCAGTCTACAGTGGATGTCACATAACATATTTAGCTAATTAACATAAATATTAGCTAACGGGGAAAAAAAGTGGCTTTTCCAACATGCTCCTTGACATACCTCACCATATACAACCTAATCCCTCCAACATATTGACCAGATGCAAAACCTTTGCTAAAGGAGATGTTCAGTCTTAAGCTAAGTATAACACAAAGGCCACAATTCCTCAACGTGAACGACTCAATTCACTTTTGAGAAATAATTTCTCCACACAGGCACAATGAGGACAAGGATGGCCACTGCAAAATTGGTCCTAAATCTTTAACTGACTAACAGGAAGGTACCGTACTGGTGTATGTATAAAATGCTTATCAGTTGGTAGGACACAGGAGAGAACAATAATCCTTCCAACACGAACCAATATGCTGAGTAAAGCCAGTAGTCCAATGCTGGCTTTTCAGAGTTTAGATACAAATATGCTATAAAGCCACATTTTTATATGTGCATGTACATCAATTTAAAAAAAAAAAAAAAGGCCTGAACCGTACCTTAAACAGAGAAAAGGAAGCAGCAACAGAAAATGGTACAACTTCTGTTATTTGGGGCATGGCTGTGCCTTAAATATTTTTTCAAGTAACAAGAAAAGCTGTTCTAAATGAAATTTAAAAGAGGCTGATCATACACCATTAGAGTCCTTCATTTAATTGTCAGCAATAATCTCCTGCTAATGCAAAATGACACCGTTTCCAAAAAAAAACATTGTGGAAATAAAATCAGAAATAGTCTGAACATAGGATCAAGTAGTGACAGACATTAAGTTGCTGAATGTTTTCAACTACTGGAAATACAAAAAAATTCTATTACTTATTACTCCTTGAAGCTGAAACACTTTTTTTCCTAAATTATGCCTTCATTCCAGTCCATGCTTGTAACACCATTTCAGATCTTCTTCAGATTCTACAATCCTGACTCCACTGTCCTTTTGTTGAAAAAACAAAAAACCAAAAAATGCTTAAGCTCCAACTCCCTAAAAGAAGGAGCAAGAGAAGGAGAGAATCAAAAAAGGAAAGGTAAGGTGCAGGAGCAGCCTTGAGCCTGAGGTCAAAACTGATCTCAGTTTCAGAGCTTTCCAACTCCTGCTGATTTACCAATGCAAATAAATGGGAGGTTCTGAATTACAGACTGCTTTTAGAGTGCCACTTCAATCACATTACACTGAAAATATTTGATAAATATGATTTCAAATAAAAGTTAGTAGAACATTATATGTTAAATCATAATAAACCCAAAGGACCTGTCACTATTGTTAACAGTTTCATAATATCATTCACTTGATCAACAGTTGCTGAGAGAGTTAAAAAAAAAAGGGTTGGGGGGAAAAAAAAAAAAAGAACAAGAAAAAGAAAGTAGGCCTATGGTCTGATTTTATGCCTTCCATATCACGTATGCTATACTCACACACAGATGTGAACTCTTAATTTCTGCAGAGCTCAGTAGGAGCTGTCTTGACTACCCCAAGCACTTGAGAACCTGTTTTTAATAAAACAACTTCTTTTATTTTACTTTACTTTTGCTTGATTGTAGTCTGACACTTTCTGGAGCGATTGTCTTTTTGTGCTCATGTGTAACTGAAATTCTAAACCATAGAATCCTAGAATCATAGAATGTCTGGGCTGGAAGGGACCTCCAAAGGTCATCTAGTCCAACCCTTCTGCCATAAGCAGGGACATCTCCAACTAGATCAAACTACTCAGAGCTCCATCCAGCCTGATCTTGAATGTCTTAACGGATGGGGCCCCACCACCTTTCTCGGCAACCTATTCCAGTGGTCTGTCACCCTCATACTGAAGAACTTTTTCTTCACATCTAACCTAAATGACCCTTTTCCAGCTTAAAGCTAGAAACCAACAGCTTTCAAACATTTACAACACAGGCTCTATACTAAACAAGACTATATACAGTAGTTAGAGTACCACTAACATTCTAGCATTGTCAAGGGTAGTATAGGAGGCCCTAGATAAAGCATTTTTTAATAATAAAATATCCTCCCCTTGACTGAGCTCTTAACAGAAAAGTTTAATTTTGTTTTCTTAATATTGGTATCTAATTGTAGAAAAGCATGCTCAACTGACTCAGCTCTCTGGTTTCTTCACTTTGAGGGCAAAAAAAAAATTTAAAATCTACTTAAAAGCATAACCAAATAATACACATTCTTAATCCTTTCCTCCCACATCTCTCTTGCATTTTCTGAGAAAAAGAATGTTTATAATTAGAGCAACAGTATTCACAACTACCTGGCTATGGTTTGGTGGCCTCCTACTAGCTCCCCATGACTTACTTGTTTGAACAAAATTACTGTAAGACCGATGAAAAGGGAGTAGATGCTCTCTCAACCAAGCTCAGAATATTTTCAATTTCTGTTTTTATGGATACATGTATACACACATGTACACAAACACACATACACACACCTCACAGTAAATTTCTCAGCTACTACTCCTACCCTATGTGGTATTTTTAGATATCACTGTTTATTTTTCACCTATCTATTTAATGCAAGACCCTTCTTCACAGTCAGCACCCTTAAAGGCACTCTATGAAAAGAGGTTTAAGACTGAATTAGCACAAAACTTCTAAATGTACTTTTATAAAAAGCAAAATGTAGACTACAATCATTTTGGTTGATATTGAAATTAGGTAAATAAAACACGCATTTCTCTATAATGTTTAAAAGACCATTTCTGGAAGAACTCAAAATCCCTGATGTAGTCTTGTTCTTGGGAGCATTCACATAACCATAGTTTGCAGAAACCAAGAGTTTGGAGAAAATTTTTTGGAGTTAAGTACATGAGTATTCATGCAAATGCAATTTTGAAGTCCAAATGTTAATTTTCAAAATGGATTCAGGAACTATACTGCCTGAAACAGTGCTACTTGTTTTTCTTCTGATTAATCCAAATCAATCAACATAGCTCAGTAGCAAAAATCATACATCAAGCCACAAATTAAAAAAAAAAAAAGAAAAAAAAAAATTCACACACAAAACAATCAAATATTTTGACACAAACAATGCATTTGAGGAAAGTCTAAGCTACTGAAAAGAAGTCCAAGAGTGGTAAGAAAGGCTAGATTTGCTACTCATTGTATTAACTAAAAATCAGTTGTTGACCCTTACCAAAAATTTTAAAAAATTACATTATTTACACAGATTAAATAAACACCGTTTTCATGGCAATTTTGTCAACTAATTTACTTCCCTCAAGAATATGGAGAAAATTAACACGACCCAATACACAGAGCAGGGACATAAAGTGAGGGCCCTGTTGATAATTGAACTATGAACATGGAGGGCATTGTTACCTTGGCACGCAAAGCCTCTTTCTTCATAGCCAGCATTACACAAGCACTTCCCTATGGGCACTAGCCATTCTCCTTCTGTACTGCAATACATCTTGGGTGGTTCTTCCTCCTTGGAATGATTGACACAAGAACCCCGCACCTCCACCAGTGACTGAGAGTCCATGGGTACTGTATCGGGAAACACAGCGAGGTTCTTGACAGTGAAAGGGCACTTTTTGAAGTACACTCGCACCGAGACTAAGGCAACACAAGCACCTACATCTTGAAAAGCCAAAAAAAAGCCTTGCCTGCTGACAGGCCCCACCTCACGGACTTCTGTATTCAGCTTGAGAATTCGGTCCCCAAGATCCATTTGGGTGAAGCTCTCATCAGCCGCAATGGTGTCGATCTTTGTAAACTGATGCTCTCTGAACTTTACCAAATGGTCATCATCAGACTCCATATAATACAGATTAAAGGTCTCTTTGCAAGTGCCCAGAACTAGAGGGATACTATTACAGTCCCTCAAGGTAAACTTGAGCTCCACGTATATCTTCTGAGCTGAATTGCGTGGAATCCAGTTTGTTCTCAGCCAATTGTTTTGACTGTGATCCATAACGTTGCACACCTGGTAAGTTCTGATTGGAGTATAATGCTCATCAACACCACTAATCTCTTCCCACTGGAAGGGAAAAAAAAAAAAGAGGGGAAAAAAAGAAATATTTTATAATTAATGATCATACCAATAAAAATCACGTTAGAGACAAAAGAAAAATCAGTTTGCTTGGACATCACTATAAAATAGACAAAGTTTGGTCAAACTTGAATTTATTTTATTTCCTACTAAACCCCAGAAATATCTTAAATGAACACAGAATTCATCGTTAAGATGTGAGTTTTACCAAGTTATTTCAAAGTGGCATGAAAGAGATACTACTATTGTTGTGCATTATTAAAACCGTGATTTCTTCAACCGTATTCAGTATTGTTCTTTCAGTTGTGATACCAATGTCTTTACTACAACCACACTTACCTGAAACAGAAGAGGTTTACTAGGATACCACCACATTTTCACTGTTAGAATCAAGTTATATTCCAAAGACTAAACAAGATTTTAAAATCTTACAAACAAAAACTAATGGCTCCCACTGAAATTCCACGTAGTCATAATAAAATGTTACGGTTTCAAATTTATTCGAAGCATGACAATTGATTTTGCTTGGGATACATGTCCTCTGCACAAACAGTCAAGCTTAGCCCAGTTTCCAGAGCTATTAAAAATTACACCAACTTACTGTAAGTATCTTGGTTACTTAAGTCTTCTGTGAACAATATGGGCTATGACACTAAAACAGTTTTTGAAGAATACATAGTTATAATTTGTTTTTACATCAGTCATCAGCTGAGAAACTTACTTGACCCAGATAAGAAACCCATTCCTTCCCTATTTGTGAACTACTCATGCAGCAGTCTTAGTGGACTCTTGAATTCACACTTACCAGAGAGAAGAATTTACAAAAAAAAAAAAATCAAACAAACCAAAAAAACCCACAACAACACAGGACACCAGACCACACACACACACCTAAAGGGGTGCTTAAAGTAAATATTTACTGTTAGTCAATTTTTCTTTTTTTTTAAGGTCACCTATTCCTGAGCTCTTATCCACACAAAAATGGCAGTTGTTCTATATTCCAAGTATTAAAATACAAAATGAAAAGCCTCACCACTAAAGCACTAGGATTAAAACTCATTACAAAGAGCTATAGCTACTATGGAATCATACCACCACTGAAGTTGAATGAAAACCACCCACGTGTTCTAGCCCAACACCCTGCTCATGCAGGGTCAGCCAGAGCAGGTCACTCAGGGTCCTGTTCAGTCAGGCTTCTTAGTACCTCCAAGGATGGAGACTTCACAGCCTCTCTGGGCAGCCTGTGCCACTGCTTGACTGTAATGAGAGTAAAAACGTTGGTCCCTATGGTTACATGGAATTTCCGTATTTCTGATTGTATCCACTGCCTCTTCGTCTTTCACTGGGCATCAGAGAGAAGAGTCTGGCTCCACGTTTTTTTATACTCACTGGTAAAATTCCCCTGGGCCTTATGATTTTCTGTTCTACACTTCAAAGTTAATTACAGAAACAAAAGAGGTAGACTCCTATTGTGATAATGAAGCACATACTAACAGAGCATACAGTAGCACAGCAGCTACAGAAATCCTTGTTTTGCTGTCACACACATGCACAGCCTCTGCAAAACCCACAAACGCTGCCCCAAGCAGACAGATGCAGAGCAGCTGGGGAGCAGCAGAGAGACACAGAACTTCTACTAGAAGACAATCTTGCCTCAAAAATCAAGTCACATCAATGTTACATTGACGATCTCAGTCTAAAAAGTACTCACTTTGCATGAGCACCTTTTGCTGCAGGACCTTAGTATACTGCAGAGCAAACATTAAGGAAAAAAAGTACTATTCCCACTACACCAACAAAGAAACTGAGATGCAGAAGTGTTAACTGTCTTTACAGTTTCCTAGTTCTACAATACATGCATCACACACACATACAAAGAAAGAAGGGGAAAAAAAAAGAAAGGTGGCCACTTCAGAGTAACATCTGAGAGTTCTCAGTCCAAACCCACTGACCTGAGAAATTTTGATATGACTAAGAGCTAGTCTGCACAATGAAATTGTCCACACACCACTGAAGATGTGATTTTAAATCATGTTATTAAACCAGCAGATAAAAGGAGTATAAATATTCTTCCTTTAATTGAAACAAAGTTTATTTTAGTTCACTTTACAGATCTAACCATACACAAGTTTTATCTCTTGTTGACTAGCTCAACAGAGTTAAAGAAACAATCTTAGATGTGCATACAGCAGCTGAAACGCTGCAGCAAGCCATGATGTGCTGCCCTGTCAGAGAGCTGGCAGTGCAGGGGCTCCCCGAGCCAAAGGTGCTGCACTACAGCTCACGGCCACTTGAGAGCTGGGCACCACCGGGCAGCCCATCGTACAAGGACAACCTCTTGCCTGCACAAGAGGCAGTTGGACCCTGGCTTCCAATCTCTGACAAGTTTTCAAAACTGAGTGGAGGACCCTCCTCTGACAGAAGTCCTTGTACAAGTACAGCCCCTGAGCCAATAATCTAATCCTGTGGCAAAAATCCATTCAGATGCCATAACTGTCTCCCACAAAGCTGGATATACCTACTTACCTGGACAAATCAAAATCCTGTCACAATAACTGGATGAAACTGCACAAGATTACGTAAACAATTCTATGGACATTTAAACAGTTCATATTGATTCATAAGTGATCTACTTATTTTCTCTTCCATATAATTTCTCATCAGTTGAACATATTTAACATGTCCAGTTGGAGATAGAAACAAAAACAGGAACCTGCACAATTTAAAACATCTCCACAGCAGATGTTATTTTTCTCAACAAGTTTCATTGCAATTTTTTTTCAGAAGTTTCTTAGCCAACATGCTTACACAGACAGTTGAATGCAGATATATAGATTGCAAGATAAAGGTAGCACCACTACTACGTCCTTCACCCAGAAGTTGCAATTATTATCACTTCATTAATTTTCAATGAAGACCAAATTGCTTGGAAACAATAGTCCACGTCAGTCCATTTACATAAACAACAAAATTTCAAATCCATCATTTAATGCTGTCACACTGCTGAGTGGAAGCATCAGCCTCAAAGAGGGTGCTAACTTGACCAAAATATTTAAATGTTATAAAATTATAGGGATTGCATCTATTGTTTTAGAAAGAGTTTAGAGGAAATAAGTCACTAGAACTACATGAAGAATGTCCAAATCAGAACATCTACTAAATTCAAGTAGAATTGTGACTTCAATCATCATCATGATCAATCTAAAAAAAAAGCAGTACATTTGCAGTGCTCACACACTGCAACATCTCCCAGTAAGCTATCGGCACCCCCAAGAGATTTAATTCTAAACAGATCAGCAAGAACACCAAGACAATTTCCCTTCCATTACCCACAAGTTTTTCTATTAAATGAGATTTCTCAAACATCTCTCTTTGTAGTTGCTTTAAATTTTTTATTTCTGTACTTGTAATTCGTATGTTCAACTTGCTCTCTGAAGTTACAGTAGTTAAAAAATTATTTCCTTAAAAAAAAAAAAAAAGAGGAGAGACATTTTTATTCCAGGGACAGAATTAAGGAGAGAAAAAACATAGAACAAAGTACATGTTGGTTAATAAAATATTGAATATTTTTTTATTTAATCACTATTGTCAGTTGCTTCTGTGTTGATCTTGGGGGCTCAGTTGAGAGCAAGTAGTCTTTTACTGTAAATCCTTATTTAGTCCATTCAAGCAGCTTCTTATGGTGTATGTCTTTTGAGGCATGACTTATAAAGGAACTCTCAGTCCAAACCTATTCTGGACAAAAAAGTTCCATGTTGTTTTACTGCTGCAAAATGCTAAACTCATGCCCACTTCATACCAAGGGGAGACTATGGGTATCCTCCTTAACACAAAGGTGTCCTGGTCTATCATCTCTTCTTCTCTTCCCTCTGTTGCCTTTACACTGCCCTTGAGCTCTGCAAGAGTATCAGATAGCACCCAAACAAGACTATGCCTCTCACAGCATTCCTTTTCAGCACTCACATCTATTATCATTACACGAGGACAAAAATCAATAAACAAACTTTTAGAAGTTGAGTATGTATACTTTAGCTTTATAGAGAGATATTGGCATGAAAACTTGCTGGCTATTAAGAGGCTAAGTGGCAACAGGAAGCAAACCTCCTGTGCAACATCCCCACGTAGCCTGTTCAGCATTACAGTATTCAGGGCAGTTTTACTTTGTGCAGGCATCACTCTGACCTATATTCCCAGACAGCTATATAGCTGCAATAACAGAACAATAAGGTAGGAGTTAAAAGAGTAGAAGAGATATATAAACAGAAGTAAGTATGGGATAAAGCTTATTTTCAAGTCTTAAAGAAAAGCAGAGTGTAAAAAAATCTATGATGCTCCTTATACTAGAAGACCTAGATCTTCCTTATTAAAAAACCTACAGAAAAGGTTCACTTACTGTAGGGAACAAGAGAAGCACAGAGATAAAAAGCATCAGAAAGAAAAAGTATCTAAGGTCTTTTAAATACATGAGGAAATTTTTGATCTGTTGGGAGGTGGAGGATAAATCAGGTAAAAGAAGAGTCCAGAATTACTACATTGTAATTAAAATGTGCCTTTGTATCTCAGAGTACAGAAAGAAAAGAATAGCATTCAGAGTGTGCAGGAACCTCCATAACTAGGGCTTGATCAGTTCAAAAGGGAGGTAGCTTTAGTAAATAAAAGTGACTGAAAAGTCACAAAGAGGAATTCAGTCAAAAAGGAAATGATGCAATGAAATGGAAAAGAAAGAAAACTTCAGATGTAAGGCAGATATTTATAGGGCCAATCATATGGCAGAAAAGGACACACTTCTTTTCACTTTATGCCTTGAGCCTAGTCTGACAGTCTCAGCTTCTCCTCTTCCCACCTTCAGCTTCCCAGAAATATTGTTATCCCATGGAAATCTAGCATGGGATGAGGGGCTAATTTCTACTGAACCTACTCTCCTAAACAGTACATCATGCAACCGTGCAACCACTAGTATTTCTTGCAGGAACAAGAATGTAAAGCAAAAGGCAAGAAAGTATACAAGAAGAAAGTATAGCCATTCAAACCTAGTTACCATGGAAACTCACTTGGATCTTAAAAAAGGATAGATCTATTTCTGAGGGTACTGCATTTTTCCATATGAAGTTTCATTTTGTTGAGTCTTTGCTAAGAGAAAATAGGAACAGTTTACATTTTTCTCCTCCAGATAGAGGGAACAGATAAACCAGAAGGTAACCAGAAGAATAAGCAGAAAGATGAAGAAGCAGCTGACACAAGGAGAAAGGCAGACTACATGGCAGTGCAGCAGAGAAATACTGCAGAGAATTTGGGCACAGGCACTTTCCCAGGAGTTCAGAAAGACCTAAAGAAGGTTACCTGAGCCAGGAAGGAAGGAACTGGCAGTATGTAATATTGAGGAGGAAGGACACTGGTGTGAGTTAGGCTGAGAACTTAGAGACTAAGTATTGAGATACTTGTAGAGCAAGTGTATGAAAGATCTGTACTTCTATCATGTAAATCAGACACCAGCGGGCCTCAAACCTAATTCTCATCTCAATTACGTGCAATTACTTTGGTAACACTGGTCCATTGGGAATTACACTTCAACGGTGTCCCAACTGGTATGTATTTATTTATTTCAGTACTGTATGGCTACTGAACTAACAGCTATTTATCAGTACTGGCTATGGGCTGACTAGAAATTAATAGCTGGGTTCTAAATGCTGGAAGAATAAAGTAACAGGACTATCCTCCAAGCAGACCAATAGGGTTGATAAATACAGGGCTTTTTTATTAAATGGATTTATAAAATTCTGTCAGAGATTTTATGACAGTATGATGGGGGAGCTGGAAATCTGAAACTGTGATATAAGGCCCTGGGTACTGGATTTGTTCCTACCGTCAGGAGAGATGGAGCAGAGTTGTGACCACCATTCCCAAATTCACATTACTACACAGTATTTACATTACTCTAATGCCTGCAGGCACCTTCATCACTTTTGAAACATCTTCAGGGAGAGTGCCATAGCACCACTCCTTGCCTAGCAAGTAAACTGGCTTTTGGAAAGCATTCTTTTTTGTTTTTCACTCTTAAAATCTTCTTTGGATAATGTTAATAGCAGCTTTCAGCAGTACAGAAAAATCTCTGAGATCCCCAATGAGAAGGTCTAATTCATATGCTCAGGTCATAATGGCTGACAGAGCTGGGACAGAAAGGGTTTTCTTTTCCAGAACTGATCTAGCAGGGTGTGCTGGACTTCTGGCTTTGTTTTTTATCTTCCGTTTTCTCTACAAAAGGAAATGTACAGAAGTGAATGTAGGCCATCTTCTAGAATGCTAAAACACTAAAAAGTTCCCTCTCAATGTGGGAATCTAGGACACGAGTTATATCCTCAATTCTTTCATCCTTCCTTTGCCATACTTCAGTTTTTGTGAGCTTTTATGTTTCATCCTTGTGCTCTACCGAGAGGTAATAGTTTCAAACTGAAAGAGGGTAGATTCAAAAAAAATATTAGGAAGAAATTCTTTATTGCAAGGGTGGTGAGACACTGAAACAGGTTGTCCAGAGAGGTTGTGGATGTCCCCTCCCTGGAATTGTTCAAGACCAGATTGGACAGGGCTTTGAGCAACCTGTTCTAGTGGGAGATGTCCCTACCCACGGCAGGAGGGTTGGATCCACATGTTCTTTAAGATCCGTTCCAACCCTAACCATTCTATGATATCAAAAATCTTGAGTTTACATTAAGAAATTGAAGGCTACTTTGTTACTGACAATACATGACATGCAACCACATGATTCCAATGAAATACATTTTATCTTTCACTGTTACATTAGTATAGAAATCCTAAACTATAAAACTCCCACTAAAAATGGAGTTGGTTAAGTTTTTCAAGGCCCCAGTGCAACTGAGGCAGCTAAATCCCCAAGACTCCATCAACAATCTCAGCCAACAGTCTGGCAATATTTACTTATTTTTTTTTCCCCTTTAAGAAGTTTTGTATGATGATGTATTTGGTATGATTTCTTATGAGCATCATTTCAGGTAATTTCACCTGCCCTTTAACATAAACTAATAATACTAACAGTGGTTAGATGGAACACACAAACTACATATCTACTGTGTGTCCTAAGACAGACTGGAAATACAGTGCTGAGAAATCAGAACAAAAAAAAAAAATAACTGGGTGAAATGACTTTGAAATCTCACAAAAACATTTTCATGCGATAGGATGTCCCACCCTTGCTCAGCTGAGCAGTCAAATGATTGCTTATTTCTAAACTAAATTTTAAAAAATATCCACTTTTTTTTTTTTTGTCAGTGAAACTGCTTTTCACTCTCTGCAAGGTGTTCACATA